ATATTTTATACATACGGTTTTGAATCTGACCCTTTTTGCATCATTCAATGGTAAAAGCTTTGTTAAAAGCCCTGTTGTACACATTCAGATATACCTGAAAACAGCAAGTTTGATCAAAATAGTTTCAGTTTTTTTTCTTCAGGTGTTGTTGAGGGGCCAAAGAAAGACTTCAGACTAAAAAAAATCCAATATTCTTCAATATTTTTCTTGGATCAGGCTTTAAAGGGTTGAGTAACCACTGCAATAAGAACAAATTTCACTTCAGTGGATAAAGACTACGGAGCCCCTCTGATGACATGGTAAAAAATAAAATGTAATTGTGGCCACAAAGTAGTATTTCGTGGTCAACAATAAGCAGTTGGTCAACTATGAAATCTATCCCGCGTCCCAGTCGTACCTTTTGCGGTAAAGCAACCTGGCTCTCACTATCCTGTTTAAATGTCTCTCGGTAATGGCGGTTTCCTAGCAATGCCAGGCTTTTCAGATTGTTTTTGTAGCTCATTCCCAGCCAATAATATAATTCTATCGTACTGTCCCTTTCCGTGGTGGAGCTTTAGCCTCTCTAATGCCTCTACGTTAGACCGTAGAGATGGTGCGCTCCATTTGCTTACCCAGTTGTCCAGGAATGGTGTTCAGAATCAGAATCAGAATCAGAAATACTTTAATAAGACTAGAGGGAAATTATTTACATTTCAAATAATTAAATTACTTTAAATTATTTAATATTATTAATAAGAATTATGGTGCGCGTTCGTGGCCAAAATTTTTTTTTTTTTTTACCATGTCATCAGAGGGCTTCCGTAAAAGACTGAATAAATACTTCTTAAGCTTTCATCTGCCTCAAAGTATTTTTAACCCTATAATGCCAAATGTATCATATTTGATTCATACGGTTTCTGAAATGTTTTGCGTCTGACACCTTTTGCATAATTTAATGGTAAAAACTTTGCTCAAAATCCTATTTTACACAATCAGATACACCTGATAACAGGGGGCAGAAGACTACACAAAAAATAATGTTGACTTATTGCATAGTAATAAATCATTAATATTAAAAATGTATTTCTGTTTTTTCTTTTTTACATATTTTGTTAAAAGGCCAAATAAGGAATAATAAAAAAAAAAGATATTTTCTGTTTTGTTTTGTTCTTGGATCAGGCTTTAAAGGGTTAAATCACTTTAAATTATTGAATATTATTAATAAGAATTATGGCGCACGTTATACTACTTCGTGGCCACAATTTAATTTTCTTTTTTTACCATGTCATCAGAGGGTCTCTGTAAAAGACTGAATAAATACTTCTTAAGTTTTCATCTGCCTCAAGGTAACTTTAAAGGTAACAGGAAAAGGAAGACCAAAGGTTTTGTAAAGTGATCCGAACCAACCATTCCTAAGAAACGGAGTGTTTGAAATCATAATGTAATTCAAATACGGCAACAATGGAAAGATTCTGAAGGTTTTCCTTTATTCTTTTAATGTTTTTTACTGTATCTGTTTGCAGATTAGGCCCCAAATATGGCAGACAAGCAGTCAGTGTGTAGCTGAGAAACTGCCAGTTTAAGCTTTGTTCCGTTGGGTGTTCGCCTTCACACCGGAGTTGTTTTTCAGGCCGTTCCAGTTTTTTAAATGCACATGGGGAGATTTTCGGCTATCGCCTATCAGCTTTGACATTCCTGATCGATCAGCCTTTACCCAAGAACTTACTGGCGGAGGAATATCAATCACACCCGGAGAAACGGTCAGAAAATTAAATGAGCACAACTCTCCACAGACAGCCAGAAACTCCTCTTTAAAGGACATAAATTATGAGCTGCTAATGGAAACATTCATCATGCCTCCAATGCTTTCTGACAAAGGGAAAAAAAACTGATTTAGATTTACGTCGTACTACCTTACCGAGACCCTTCAACCAAACTTTTTCCACTATTTAAATTGGACCACCTTTCAACGTGATCCACTGTTTGTGGTGTTTGGTTTATTAATTAAGTGTCACGATGTTGAGAAGGCAACACTGTGTTGATCATATAAAACTACAGAACTTATGAGTAATTCTCACAACTGCTGGAAACTTTGTCACAGAGATGTCCCTGTTTCTTATATTCCAAATATATTCCGTCCTCGCTTCCTGTGCCACAAAAAAAACAAACAAGTGGCATCATTGTTTAAAGAGGAGCAGCTCCTGGTTAAAGGTTCTGCATGGTTGAAGACCCCCTGACCTAATTGGTCACTCTCTCAGTAAACATGATATTCCCTTTTTTGTTTCCGTGAAAACAACTCTCATTATAGTTTGAAAACAGGTTGCTCGTCCTCCTCGTCGTTTTAATTGCTCGAATCACATGAGCAACTTAGACGTAAACAGGGGAAGCAGAAATGAATAGGGAATAGGCAGGAAAAAAAAAAGAAAAAACTCGGATTTACGCCCTTGTTAGGATTCCATCAATCAGTAAAATGAGGCCAGGCCATTGGAGAGCGACTGCTGACTTATGGTTGTGGCCCAATTTGAATGTGTGTCAGATTAAACTGCCAGCAGTCACTTCCAGGGAAAAAAAGTTTTGGAAAGTGGGAACGTCAGCCTGTTTGAACCTGTCGGGCTCACTCGTCAGAAGGCAGAATCAGAGGAAATAAACGCTATTTTCTTTCGGTTTTGGTTAATTAAACCTCCACAATGGCGTCATTTGTACGATTTGTTTCAGTGATAGGGGGAAGGAAAGAGAAAGGACTAAAACTATAATAAAATAATGGTTGTGTTAGTTGAGTTGTACAATCCTATCTTGTGTATGTGTTGGTTCTCATTGGGTATTTTAGCTTCCTCCCACGGTCTAAAAACATGCATGTTACGTAAACTGGTCACCAATTGGATCCATTCGCTATAACTGGTTATTCCCTACTTGGGAATAACCAGTTATAGCGAATGGCTGGATGGTGATTTTGGTCCACCGTGCAAAAGGTACCAGTTATTGAGTTTCCACTCAGAATCTAGAGGTTAAATCATGTTTAATTCTTAGTCAACGGGGGCAAATAAAAACTTGTGTGGTGTGGTGTAAGATAAATAGTTGTTACTTGAACACCAGTGCTCCAAATTCATTCTACCTACATTTTGAAATATTCAAATATGTGACATCATCTAACATTTAACTGCCTTGTAAACACCTGCAAGCATAAAGAAGTTAACAATCAAAAGGTGTCACCTTCTGACTGTTGTGCAACAGGTTTCAAAAGATTGGAATGCTAATTATTTCTAAAGTGCTTCCCTCGCTTACTAATGCTTAAAGGGGACATACTATGCAAAATAAAGTTTTTAATCATGTGATTATGTACATTTGGGACTGTGGAGGGCCTATCAGCAGGCAAAGTGTGAAAAAAAAATGACTGGGTCATGTTTTTGTGGGCTGCCTCAGTCTGAATCCAGGAGATAAATCAGGAGGTTTCAGGAGTGGGTAGTTTCTGACGTCATTAGCTCTAGCTCATTATAATATTCCAGCCTTTCACCTGCATGTTGCCCCCCCCCTCAGCTTACTCCGCCTATCTGTGGCAGACGCCGTGGTAGCGTGAGCGTTAGCATGGTACCGTTAGCATGGTAGCGTTAGCATGGTAGCGTTAGCGTGCCGACGTGGGCCCACCTCCCTGAAGAAGTGGGTGGATTGCCTGTGTCTCATTTGCATTTAAAGAGACAGGCACTCCAAAGCGAGCGCTTTGAACGGGGCTGTTTTGGGTTAGGGTTAGGGTTAGGCAGGGGGACTGAACTGCTATTGGGCTTCATCCTTATGGGATTTTGACCAAAGCTTGTCACAGACATTACATTAGGACACCAGGGAACTAGTTTAACTTGTTGAAATAGGGTAGAATATGTCTCCTTTAGGGCGGCACGGTGGTGCGGTGGTTAGCACTGTCGCCTCCCAGCAAGAGGGTTCTGGGTTCAAATCCCGGGGGAACCAGGACCTTTCTGGGTGGAGTTTGCATGTTCTCCCTGTGTCTGCGTGGGTTCTCTCCGGGTTCTCCGGCTTCCTCCCACAGTCCAAAAACCTGCATGTTAGGCTGATTGGAGATTGGGGAAATTGCCCTTAGGAGTGAATGTGAGTGTGAGTGGTTGTTGGTCCTTGTGTGTCTCTGTGTGGCCCTGCGATGGACTGGTGGACTGTCCAGGGTGTACCCTGCCTCTCGCCCGTTGACCACTGGGATAGGCTCCAATTCCCCCCGCGACCCCATGAGGGAATAAGCGGTATTGATAATGGATGGATGGATGGATGTCTCCTTTAAGTTTACTCCCAACCCGTGGGTGGTAAAAGCAATTTCAGTGTGTTTTGATCTTGCATTTGACCCGCGTAGCATATTGAATTTCATCTTTACGTTGATGGATGAGTCCATTGGGTCCCACTGCACCTGTCCCTGTGCGGCGCAGGTATTTGTGATGGAATGTGGAAAGCATGCTAACTTCACATTCACCCGAATCTTATCTGTGTTCAGAAAAACTAGGGATGCCCGTTTTCAGTAGAAGCTTGGTTGCAGAAATGCTGTTATCCACATCTGTGTGGCTCACTGTATGTTGAATACGAGCCCATGCAAAGGAAATTCTGGGATTTCTGACCCAGGAGGCCACGAATGGTCACAGAAATCATCAATCCATCCATTGTCCCTTCCACTTATTCGCAGGGGGGGTCCCAGCTCGAGGACAGACCACCAGTCCATCACAGGCCAAATGGAGACGAGCAACCACACACACTCACATTCACTCCATGATTTAGAATCATCAATAACCCTAACGCGCATATTTCTGTTTTGGACGGTGGGAGGAAGCCGGAGTACCCCAAAAGATATCACGAACACATGATTTATGCAGGGAAACCATGGAAACTATGTAATATGACAGTCCTCTAGTAAAATAAAAGACATAAAGAGAAAACAATTGACCATTTTCAATATTATTTTTGTCACATTACTATGTTTTTTTTGCAGCAGATAAACTAGTTTCCCTAAAATCATCATTAAATATTTGACTTACCCTGGAAAGGACCACTTCCAAGGTGATGTTCTGAGGAGGGGTGCTGGGAACTGTGTAGACAGACAGAAAAATGATCAAATAAAAAAAAAAAACACGTTAAGACGCTCAAAACATCAACATCTGCTTCACCACTTACAGAGATATCGTTCATCACTCGTATCCCTAAACAGGTCATCCAATTTAGAAGGTAAAGAAAAAAAAACACCTCACAAAATCAATAAAAAACTAATAGAGAAAGATTACAGTCCCTTGATAAATGTATTGGCAAATGGAGTAAACAGGAAAATGGTGGAAAAGAAAAACTAATCAAAATAAAGATGAGAGAAAAAAAAGTAAACGATGGACTGTCAGATATCAGGAGATAATAAAAAAAAAAGACTAAAGCATGAAAAATGGCCGAACTCCTGTCCAGGAAATAAAATACAAACTTTGAGAATCAGACTGTTTTAGTCGTCCAATCAGCTGCCTGTGTAAGCATCAGCAACTCATGAATCCATTCAGCTGTTTACTTTTTGAGTGTGCGTTCTATTGTGTGTATCTAAGTGTGTATTATGAAGAATTTAATTAGCCGAGAAGTCACCGTTATCATGGAGATACAGATGGCAGATTCACAATAGAGTCAGTTTGCATCTGGGTGTGGTGTTGTTTGTCTTCAATTTAGCCTCATTTTTATGGAACGTCTCCTTCTCTCTTCCTCTCCCTCTAAACGGGCTTCTATCTGGAGGTTTATTAATGGCGACGCTCATATCTTAGCACCACTCATCAACTGAGTGCTAAGGAATGATGCAAATTACGCTCCTTCCATCAAAAGCTCCATTTTTTAAATTTTCTGATAGATTTTAATCGCCTGCTAACAAATAACTTGTTTTAATAACTTGCAAAGTTTTGCAAGAGAGCATTAGTAAACTGTCTACATTATTTCTTTAATTTATTATTATTTTTTTAATTAACCCAACAGCAAATTATTTGCCAATTTATGTCCTTTTCATGCATTTTTAGGCAGTGGCTGTGTAAAACCAAAAGTCCATTCTTCAATGAATATAAGCAAAGATGGATAAATGCATGATTCTATTTATTCATTTTATTGTGAAAAGCAGACTCTAACTTTTGTCTTCATAAGCATCAGAACAGGTTTTTAAATAATGTTTTTTTATTTTAATCGGTTTGATATAATGTGAAATTAAAAAAGATCATTTTTCTGCTCTGAAAAGGTTTGTTTTATCAAAATGTTTTTCTAACTTTAAACCGAAGGACACGATTTCTGGTGTAAAATGTCCTCTAGGGTCACCGTTAAGCCAAAATAAATCAATTCCCATTCCAGTCAAAACACTGAGTATGGATACCTCCTGTTATTTGATCCGAACTTGACTTGAAGTAGACTCTTAAATGGAGTTCTCACGATGTGACACGCAGAGAGGCACGCAGAAAAGGGAAAAGGTCAGGTGTCTTTTGAACAGGGATTGACATCCGGCATTTACAAGGCTGACAGGATACCGCCGATAAACTCCTGTTATTATCAGATAAATTAATCTACACAGTCTCTGCATATTCAAGTGAGTCACTGATGTCCCGAGGGGGATTTTAGCCTCTTCTGTTTCCACTGCCCTGGGTACTGAAGATGAGCCTTTTTCTAAAAGATGGCGGCTCAAACAAAAGCCCTTATCGGTAATGACTGGTTCGGAACCCGGAGTCGCCTCGAATCTTCTGCAAGAAGAGGCTCGAAGCGATGCAAATTCCACATTTAAACATCCCAGATTGGCTTTCGCTTGTTAGTGGGTTGGTTGGTACACAAAAACATGATTCATGTCTCTGTGTCTGCAAACTAAAAATCTAATTGGGGCTTGTTTTTGAAACCAAATCTAGATTTGGCTGTCATGATCAGCATTAAATCTCATCAGAATTTATGTCCTTATGTCAGTTTTTATACTGGAATGCATGGAAATGCTATATTAAATTGAAAAAAATCACTTTATTTACATTGAATCTGATTAAACTAAGAACTATGTTTGTTACCCCATAAACTATTATCTACTCTTTAGACCAAATGTTGGATTAGAAAAAATTCTAAACCTTTCGGGAGCAGTAAAAAGAAAAAAAAAAGCCACTGATTTGTACTTTATCCGATACATGCTTGTAAAAGCAGGCTGAGGCTTCTGGTATTCTAGTATATTTCACTCAGTTTTTTTTAACTTTGCCATCATATCGTGAATTACTACACCGGAGATTTTTCCGAAAATACAATTTACATCCCGTTTTCTATCCCGGTTGTCTGTTCATCATTAATGATCCTCGAGATGTCTTTGGCCCTATCCGTGCTATAGCACATTACAGCATTTAGCACTGACGATGTGTGTGTGTGTGTGTGTGTGATGGAAACAGAGGAAGGGAGAGGGTGAGGACTCCATTAACATGTCAGGCAGAGAGGCTAAAATGAAGCGGTTCCCTTTTCTCCCAGCTTAATTAAAGACCCCCAAGTATCCTAATGAAATTCCTGACAGTAGGCGCGTCTATGAGAGGGGCTAAAGAGTTCCCTGCTGTTGTCTTGGCTTTTCATTTATTACATTTTTTTTTATCTCTCTCTGTCTCTCTCATACACACACAGACACACACATATATGTGGGTATCAGGTCATAAACATGACCTGAGGCCGCAGTTATTTAGTCTGTTAGGAGGTTTCGCTTCTAAGGGGGGACCATTTCAAACCAGCCAGGCTTTAAAATTCACAGAAACTCAGTTTAGTTTCCAGATTTTGTGCCGAAAATGCAGCACTTTGTATTGTTTCATCGAATTAACTTTGACTTTGATGTTTTTTTTTTATGTGTTGGACGCTTCAATGGACATAACTGTTTTTTAATTTGAAAAAAAAAAGAACTGCTGACACTTCTATTCAAATAATGTAGCCTAGAGAGGTGTCCAAGCAAAAAAAAACAAAAAAACTAATTCAATTCATTTCTAAAAGAAGTCCTGCCTGCAATCCTGGTTAGTGTTGACATGAAAACCACCAGTTTTTCAGTTTTTGAGGGAGAGAACTACTTTGATCTGATGGTCCCTTTGTCACAAATTAAGGCCACCTTGCTTCTACATGAAAGCGATCACAGTGATAAAGCGGGAAGAAGTCAGACTTACTATCGGACAGGGTGGTGACGCTGATGGTCTCGGACGCGGTTCCTGGTCCGTAGCGGTTGATTGCCAAAACCCGAACCTTATACTCCGTGAACTTGTTGAGTCCGTCCATCTTGTAATTGAGTCCAGTCACCTCCACGCTCTGGATGCAGACACAGGGGAACGGTCAGAATTTTGCTCATCTCGATACTTGGGCTTGTGAAGGACGGTGTTGGTGTGAGTGAGCTGACCTGCTCCTTGCCGGACGGGCTCTCTGTCCACAGCAGCCTGTAGCCCAGCACGGGGCCGTTAGGGAGGCCGGGGGGGTCCCAGCTCACCTGGATGGACGTCGGGGACAGCGCCACAGATCGGACAGACTCCACCCGGCTGGGGACCTGGACTATAGAAACACACAAAAAAAAACAGTCAGTAACTCACTCACTGGTACAGAAAAATCTATTGTTACGAACATTTCCCTCTATGCCAAACACTCATGATTGTTATTCTGTCCATGCATTATTTTTGGTTAAATGAAACAAAAATTTGTAATTCATTTGTAAATTGTTGTTTTTTTTGCTTTTGAAGTCGGTGGTTCTGATCTGGCTAAAGCAAAAAAAATAATAATACAGTGACTCTTTTCTTATTCATATTCAGTTTAAAAAGGGCTGTTCCCACTATTTTAGAACAAAACAGAGATTTTCTGCCAACAATTAGGTTCTTTTCTGATTTAAACAGGATCCCTAAACAAGGTCAAAAGAATAAAAAAACTACAAGCTATATGCTTCAGGAGAAATATGGATTTACCTTTTGTCTACACCAATGCAAAAGAACATTAACTTTTTGGCAACATATAGTTCAAGACATGGAGTTTATCATTATTTCTGAGCTAAGATTTGTAATATTTTTCATGCTTACATTCGACATTGTGATGTGCCACAGTTTTCTGTTTTCTTTACAAAAACAGTAATTGTCATTTGAGGTTTTCGGTAAAATCGATGTATCTGGTGGCCTTATTAATCTTTTTGTCAACATATAGTTCAAGACGTGGAGTTTATTATTATTTCTCATCTTATATTTGTCAGATTTTTCATGCTTACATTCTACATTGTGCCAGTTTTCCGTTTTCTTTACAAAAACAGTAATTGTTATTTGAGGTTTTTGGTAAAAAACGATGTATCTGGTGGCCTTGTTAATCTGTTTTCAGATTTTCATTGCAGATTTTTTTCTTTTTATATATTTAGATTTCACCTTGTGCCAACAAACATTAAGCATTGGGTGGGAGGTTTAAAAACCTGCTTGCTACTGCACAAGTGTAGCATTTATGCATACATGGAGGGGTTATTGGGGTGTATGCTTGACAGAAGTTTTCTTGTTTTGTTTGTTTGTTGACGCCTGTGTTTGTTTCAGTCCACCACAACCCCTCAAAATTGCAAATCTGAGACTGTGAAAAAAAAAAAGCGCGAAGCTCGATTCGTCGACGGCCAAACACGAATACGTTCCCTATGAATTTAATCCAGCTGGTGATTACGTGGCGGCGAAACATAATTGGGAAAACAATTTACTTGTAAGAGAATGTAATCTCGAGGAAACAGGGCTGAGCTGGAGGACCCAGCCCTGTCAGAGACAGATTGAAAATTAATGAAGCAACAGATTCCGAATCACGTTGTTTTTTTCTGGCTCGACACTTCGGTGTCCCTGCCACATAGTTGCACGATGTTTTAAATCTTGCACATGCATGCCTGTGAATAAGAAATGCAAATCATGAATCTGCATATTTAAATTCTACATGAAAAAAAAAACGGTTAAGGCACCGAATAAAAAATGATTTTTGTTATTTTCGCCTGCTATTTACAGAAATATTTCCGTCCCTTCACATCATTCATTCCTCAGATTAGAAGAATTTGATCTTGAAAAGAAAGATTTTTTATTGTTTTCCAGATCAAATTATTCTAAGGTGACAAGTTTATCTCTGATCTGTCGCAGATTATAGTTTCATGATTAAAAAACTGGCTACCAGAAACAAAGACGTAAAGAATAAATAATGATATCTGCATGGATGCAGATCGGGTCATATCTCCTTGACATACTGTCATGTGAAAATAGTCCATTTTTCATTTCAAGTATCGTGACATAATAAGATAAAGAAGTCTGAAACTGAGGTCATGACAATTTCAGGTGAACAGTAAACGCACCGAACTCTGACAGTAGGAGATGAATGCAACATTTTCTCTTCATTTCATCTAATTAGCTGTAAAAAAAACCTAGTTTTTGCAGAAAAAAATCATGTTTGTGATTTGTTTTCCTATGTGAATTGAGCGTTGAATTGCATGGGTGTATCTATATACGCGTAGGGTATGAATTTGTGTGTTTTTTTTTATGTCTTACGATCAGGTTTGGTGGCGATCCTGAGGGGGGGGGTGCTCTCCCCCGGCCCCATGTCGTTGTAAGCCACCACCCTGAAGCTGTAGCTCTCCTCCGGCCTCAGGTTGGACACGGTCAGCTCCAAAGACTCCGGCTCCGACACGTTCACGGACCTCTCCCTGGCGCAGGAAAACACGATATCATCGTCATTAGCTGAAAACAGAACTCAAATCCACTGTCTCTAAAAAAAAAAGTGCCGTCACTCCTTTTGTTAACAGGACCGCTAATCAGAACAGTAATCAGATTCAATCTGTGTGATCATTCAGAGCCCAGAGATAATCCTCAGATTACAACACCTTCACTCTGCACTAATCGCTGGATCACAGTACGGGCAAACCCAGCTTTAACGATTAGCATTTCTCAGTTGCAGCATTAACTACACACACTGAGAGTTCAGTTAATTTAGATGGAGATTTATAGTAAGATATTTGGGTTCAAATCAATAACAAAAAATATTCTTGCAAATGGAATCTCAAAGGTAAGGTAAAGTAGGTAAGTAAGTGGCCATTTGCAATACTGTTGAGAACTGATAATATCATTAAAGACTCACTTTACAGTGATTTTTACTATATGATATATGATATATATGATATATGATGATATATATATATGATATATACTATGCATCATCCCTCTTTTCGTTTATATATACTGTGTACACACACACACACACACACACACACATATATATATATTTACAGATAGATAGATAGATAGATAGATAGATATATAGATAGATAGATAGATAGATAGATAGATAGATAGATAGATAGATAGATAGATAGATAGATAGAT